GTATCAGCTTTCAGTCACAATACTGAAAAACATGCAGCAAAACTGGAGCGAAGTCAAAATGAGTCTCACTTTTCCAGAAAGCTTCATTTTCTGAATGTTGGAATTCTTAAGGTCATGTTTTGTCTCAGAGAATATCTGTCTAAATATTTCTAATTAAACAGTTTTTATGATTTTTCAAAATGGTTTTTAATTTAAATGCAAACTTAGTGGTAAATCAGACTGAATTTGTGTTATTAATCATCATTAACTGCAGGAAATCACTCACCTGCTGTGATAAATTAACTCACTTAATTTTTACAGCAAAACAACACGTTAAATAATGCACATTTAGTGAGGAACACACACACACACACACACACACACAAACACACACATGCACACACAAACACAAATACACACACAAACACAAATACACACACACACACGCACAAACACACAAACACACACATGCACACACAAACACAAATACACACACAAACACAAATACACACACACACACACACACACAAATACACATAAACACACACACACACACACACACACACATTATATTAAACACCTCAGTGTCCATTTTATCAGCTCCATTGACCATATAGTTTCACTCTGTAGATCTACAGTTACAGACTGTAGTCCATCTGTTTCTCCATACTTTGTTACCCTGTTCTTCAGTGGTCAGGACCCCCACAGGACCCCCACAGAGCAGGTATTATTTGGGTGGTGGATCATTCTCAGCACTGCAGTAACACTGACGTGTTGGTAGTGTGTTAGTGTGTGTTGCGCTGGTGTGAGTGGATCAGACACAGCAGTGCTGCTGGAGTTTTTAAATGCTGTGTCGACTTACTGTCCACTCTATTAGACACTCCTACCTTGTCAGTCCACCTAGTAGATGTAAAGTCCGAGACGATAGCTCATTTGCTGCTGCACAGTTTGTGTTGGTCATCCTCTAGTCCTTCATCAGTGGTCACAGGATGCTGCCCACCAGACGCTGTTGGCTGGATGTTTTTGATTCTTAGTCCAGCAGTGACACTGAGGTGTTTAAAAACTCCAGCAGCACTGCTGTGTCTGATCCACTTGCTGAGAATGACCCACCACCCAAATAGTACCTGCTCTGTGGGGGTCCTGGCCATTGAAGAACAGGCTAACAAAGTATGCAGAGAAACAGATTAACTACAGAATGTAAGTGTAGAACTACAAAGTGCTCCTATGTGGTCAGTGGAGCTGATAAAACGGACACTGAGTGTAGAAACAAGGAGGTGGACTTAATAAACTGCTTGGTGAGTGTATAAAATATAATTTAACATTGAATACAAATACAGCTAGATTTCTGTTTAGGTTAACTCTCATATTAAGTGACAGTTAATATGTAAGGTAATATGTAAGTTAATAAGTAGGGTTTCTAGCTGGGGATAGCCTGTTTAGCACTGCTTACTGTTCTGCTTTTAAGCAGGTCAGAAGTGCATTCATTCTGCAGCATAAACTGTGAAGTTATAAACACTTCTTGTGTTATTGATCATCTTTAGTTTACTGATCAAGTTGGTAATTTACCTTTTTATTTCCCTTCAGTTCAGTCAGGACCACTTTGTCAAAGAAAATATTTGGTTTCCATTTGGGACCTCCTTGCCATTCCATGTGCATACAAGGCAGAAAGACCCCCAAACCCAATATTCCAGGCAAACACCGGCCAGCAGGCAAGTGAAAAAAAGCTTGCAGAGGGAGCAGTGAGAATGGGCAGGCTAAAGCTGCTTAAAGAAGCACACTGAGGATAGCAGGCGAGTCGTCAGCTGATTTAGATCAGCTGATAACGGCTGGGCTGCTTTTAGCCGTGACAAAATGTAGCAAAATGTTTATTTAAATGGAAACGGTGGTGCGTTGAACACTGTTATGTTATGCAAATGTTGCAACTCTGGCGGCTGAGAAAGTCATTCTTGGTGTTGTTTTTGAAGAATTTTCAGAGTCTGATGAAACTGGTTTACATATGTTTTACACTTTGAAATACACCTTCTAATGTCTTCAACATCTCTGACACGCCCATCAAACCCGAGAAAACACACTTGAAGCCTGCTGCACACCGTTTCGCACCATTTCGCTGAAACGTATTGAAACCACAGCAAAACGGTGCACAGCATGTTGAGAGTGAACGTGCACCTGGTGATTTGAGATTGTGGCCTGAGCTTGACTTTGTAGCCTGTCTGAACTTCTGCTATGCTCAGCTTCTCGTCTCTCTGCTCTGCTCTCTGCTCTCTGAAACACTTGCTGTGTCCCAATTCAGGGGCTGCATCCATCGGAGGCTGCATTTGAAAGCCGACTGCGTCAAACTGGCGCGACTAGGCTGTCCCATTTCGAAGCCTCCTTCATATGCAGCCCAGAAATGTGTCCTTCTTTTCTATGGCAACGAAGGATCCAACGGATGGATCCTTCACTAGCCAACATATTCCAAGGTTCATTGCATGCTGGCGAGGATTCAAGCACATAGCGATGTCAGCAGAGGAGCAAACGGCAGCTGAAGAGACACTTTTAAATGTAAATATTGGGAGTCGAATAGAAAACGATACAAATGTTAAAAAAAGCCAATGTGGTCTGAAGCAAAACTCACACTAACAGAGAGAAGCGTCTCCAGCTCTATTAAATTAAAAAATGAAAAAACTAAAATCAAAGGTTCTGGTTCCGTCTTTAAAGAACTTCAAAAGAACTTGACAAGAGCGGCGTTTCGAGAAGCACCGGTAAGGGAAACGGTGACGCAAGGAAATCCGCCGTAGAGCAGACCATCACATTTCGGTTCAGCCTTTGCGGGTCTACGCAGCCTTCGAAGGACACACCTTTGTAGACTACTGAATTGGGACACAGCTACTGAGTGCACTGCGTTCAGTTCACACCGCCCTTGCTGGTTCGTTGGTGCTATGGAAACCAGCCCCGCCTCCACTGATCTACAACACACGTGGACTGACTAGCTAGCATGATCTCTTTCTCCTGTTTTCAGGTAAACCGCCGCTGCCGGTCCAGAGTGTTTTCAGTCAGATTCATTTCAGTTCTGATTCATCGGTAGGCCGTTTTTTTTTCCAATGTGTGAGAAATGTGGCGTGAGAGCGTGAGATTAGACCGAATTGCGCGAGTCTCACGGCCAATGCGTGAAGAGTTGGCAGACCTGTCTATATGTCTCCTCTGTAAGGGGTAAATTAGATTATGCAGCAAGCTATTGCTTTAAAGTGCGCAGGGCAGGAGAAAAGTGCTTCCTCTGAGGAACAGCGGGGAACCTGAGCTCTACAGTCTGAGGAACTTCACACTTCTGCTCATGTAGAGGGAGAGAGAGAGAGAGAGAGAGAGAGAGAGAGAGAGAGAGAGAGAGAGTGGAGAGTGGAGAGTTGTCAAATCCCGCTGAGTTTTAGAGCTGAATGTTGCCGCTCGATTGCTACACACTGCTGAACACTCCCCACACATAGACACACACATACAAACACGCACACACACCCTGGCCTGCTCACAGCACTACACACTCCGGTTCACCGTTTCATTGGTATATTTGATGTGTTACAGCAAATATTCCACTTTGTTTCATTGGGTTTCTGCAGTCAAAGGATGCTGACAGACATCAGTCAGGTAGCGAGAAGCTGTATTGGTTGTGCTACTCAATCCTGGGAAAGTTGATGGGCAGAGCCTTTGTTAGAGGCTGTATTTTCTCGCCATGGACTACCGAAATGTTTGTTATCTCCTGACACACGTTCTCGTTACAGGATCTTATTTGACTCAACCAGGCTGAAAAAATAACAGAACATTCTGGAACAAACTGCTTCAGGTAAAATAGATGGGTACGGAAGATCTTTCCTGCCTGATGATGAATAAAATGGACAGAAAAATGCCAGTCTTCTGTGTTCCTGGCAGCAGTGTGTCGAAAAACTGAAATGTTCCCTCAAAGGTACAACAGTGGTTTTAACGTCCAATTGTGAACCTTACATAAGTTTTTCCAGGTAAAAAGTACATATTTGTACCTTTTCATAACCTAAAGTTTTAAAACAGAACAGTAAAATAAAAAGCCTGGAGGCGAGACGGGGTGTGTGGAGTCAGTACAACGTAGAAAATATAATTTCAGTGGTTATGGTATAATTATGTTCCCTGACTAAATGTACTGAGATGTACCCTTGACGGTACCACCCCAGTGACAAGAGACATTTTAGTACCTTTATTTCTGACAATGTATGTCTAAATAATGACTTAGTATCTCATAATAATCACTTGCTATGTTTATGTCAAAATAATCACTTAGTAGTAGTATACTATACTGAAATAATGATTTAATATACTGTAATAATGATTTACAATGTCAAAATAATCACTTACTTCCTCAAAATATTGACTTACTCTGTTGAAACAGTGATCTATTTTCTCAAAATATCAACTTACTCCATTAAAATAAAGGCTTGTTATCCCAAAATAATTACTTTCTTTGAAATAGAATAACTCACTTTTTTTGATAATGTCTCAAAATCTAAAAAGAACAAGCTGTTATTCCAAGATATTTGAGGAAAATGATTTTTGTCTCCTCCACATAAAGAGAAAGGGCTTCTGTAATAAAGTAATAAACACTCTGTGCCGTGTGGTCGAAAAATTGACTTCGCTGTAAAATGTTTTTGAAATGTTGAGTTGAAAACTGCTGGATTGTGTGTTTTTGGGCTGAAGTGTTTATCTGTGATTACAGGACTCAGACGCAGACGTACTGCAGAAACACAGTTTAATTTACCGAGTTCAGAGATACAGTAACAGTCGTGCAGTGCAGGAGGGGCTCAGAGCAGTGCAGATAGGAGAGTGTATGAGTTTGTATTTGATTGTGTGTGTGTGTGTATTTGAGTGTGTATGTGTGAGTATATGTATGTGTATTTGTGTGTGTGTGAGTGTGGTTGTGTGTGTGTATTTGTGTGTGTGTGTGTGTGTGTGTGTGTATTTGTGTGTGTGTGTGTGTGTGTATGGGTGTGTATTTGTGTGCGAGTGAGTGTGTATGTGTGTGTATTTATGTGTGTGTGTGTATGTATTTGTATGTGTGTGTATTTGTGTATTTGTGTGTGTGAGTGTGTGTGTGTGTTAGTGTATGCGTGTATGAGTGTATGTTAGTTGAGCAGGCAGGACTCGTATGTAGGGATCATGTATTTGATGTTGATGAAGGAGTCCTCTCCTCCGTAACGCTCAAACACCTCCAGCGTCTCCTGGATCAGATCTCCAACGTTCTCCCGCTTCTGCTGGCTGTAGTCGATACCGTCTCCGGAGTTTACTGAAACACAGCACACACAAACAAGGTCTTTAAGTTAAAACAGTTTGCATTCCAATTAAAAAATGCCACTGGCCACCCCGGCCACCCCTCGGCGACACCCTGCACTCCAGAATCTTGTGCAAAACTTCCCAGAAGAGCGGAGGTTATTATAGCCGCAAAAGTGGACAACTCCATATTAATGCCTGTGGATTTGGAATAATACGCCCAACAAGCTCACAGCAGTGACGGTCAGCTGTCCACATTTTGGCCATACAGTGTAAACAACACAACAATGATGCTCTGTAGAGAAATGTGAGAACAGTCTGTCCATGATGGCTGTACTGGACAGTACCGGGGACAGTACGGTGGACTGTAGAGCAGCAGCTCAGAGACAACAACAGTCTTTATTCTCGCTGAGCAGAGTGGATTACTGAGCAGACTCCAAAGGCCCAACACATTCCTCACAGCTGTTGGGGGGACGTTGATGGACAGGCCAGATGGGGCTCCTTCAACTGCGTGGTAACTGCAGTGCTCGCTCTGAGCTGAGAGACCTCTCAACAGTTTGATTACAATTCTTTAACGAATCAATCAATAAGTCTATTGAATCCCACACAAAATGACGACGATATTAAGACATTAAGATAAATGCAACACCAGACCCATCCCATTTTGCATATTTTGATGCACGTGTAAACATGAAATTTATATTAAATTTACATTATGTTACTTGGTCTTTCAACATCAAAACACTAGCATAGCATTTCAAGCCAGCACTTTCGATGGAAGTTGACTTTGACACTCAGTGTGATTTAGTTTTTATGCCGTAACATCTTGAGCCATCTGATCAAGCTCACGGGTTTGATCACACTCACAAGTTGATCGGCGACTCGAGAAATTATAGAAGTGAGAGTGGACCATCACTTATCCTCTTCCTGCAGTGCCCCCTGGTGGCCGTTCTGGGGGCAGAATGGAATCCACTCTCATATTTTTAAATGATCTAATCAAATAAAACATTTCTTTCCTTGTAGCTGTGTTATCAGATGAGCTAGCTCTCTGCTGTGCTTCTGTGTGTGTAATGTTGTTGAGCTGCTAGTGGGCAATTAGAGGTGAAAGGGGAGGGGCTAGAACCTCCTTCTGTGAAAAAAATTCATGCCTCCCCACAAAGACAGCCGTGCTGAGATAAAATAGACAACGACAGCTTTCTTTATATCACACAACTGACACAATAAACACACAGCATTTAAAAACAATGAACAAACAGCATTTAAAGCAACATTATTTAACAGTTTCATAATCATGTTAATGCTACTCTGACTTATAACAGTGAGAATGGCATCTCTGTCGTTGCCACTCCAGGCCAGAACGTCTGCTATAGCACTATATAACTTTGGAGCAGCACGAGAATCTCTTGCCAGAACTGCGTAACGTTCTACAGCACCACATCACACAACAACTACTCAGCAGAAGAAGCAGCTCAGTATTCCCAGTATGGACAACATGGCAGAGGCTGCGAAGAGACCGAAGACGACGCTGTCAGAGGAAGAGAAAAAGAGAGAATGACCAAGTGAGAGGCCGGACAGTAAATCTTGGACTGGTTTTGCCTCGTAGAGAGAGCTAAAAGCAAAACCCCGACAGCAGTGTTCATCTCAGCCAGTGTTATTGATGAAAGGCTAGACTGTAGGCTGTAACCTTATCTGTGTGGTCCCTGTCTCACGGAGTTTCTCCAGATGCCAAAGTCGTCTAACCTCAGTCCTGTTTCAGGCAAACATGCAAAGAAATAAATTCATCTCAGGCCAGAAAGTTTGGTCAGTCCATCAATCTCACAACAAATAAGCCTTAAAAGTTTGTAATAAAATCCTGTAATGTTGCTCCACCTGCAACATTAGTTGACATGGTTCTTTCTCTTCTGATGTTCTTTGTGGATGTTGTGCTAAATACCAAGTTGCGAGTCTAATCTGTAGTGTCCATATGTCTGCATGATGTGTCTGCATGTGAAGGGGAGTCAGATTCTGTATCCTTCAGCTCCCATGTGTCAAGCACAAGGCCCGTGGGCCAATTCAGACCCATGGCACAATCCTATTCAGCCTGCAAAATTATTTTAGTTTTCTATTATTATTAGCCCATTTTACCATGAGCTGCACTATAGTTCCCAGCATGCACTGCAACATAATGTGTGCTCCCATCCCCTTCCTCTAACAATCTGTGAGCCAGCAGTTACACAAAAAGAAAAGATGCCTGGTGTTCAAGCAAATAGGCAGTTTTAAAATACCTACTTTTTAGAGGATAAATAGTTATCTGTAATATGCTAATGTAGCCTGTTTTATATAAAACAATTTGTTCTTATTTAAAATTATTTTTGAATTATTCAAGTATATTTTTGAATTATTCAAGTATGTCAAGTAAGTATCAGTGCTTGTTTTTTGCAGTTGTAGTTTTGGTGTACTTTCAATAAACAATGGTCAGTTGGGGTCAGGGCAAAATGTTTAGTAAAAATAAAATAAAATTACAGCTGGCCCACGGATTTGTTGAGATTTTTAATATGGTACTTAAAGTTGTTGAGTTTGACACCCCTGCTTCAGCGCGTCAACAAATGCACGTGTACAGCTGTCCATGAGGGGGCGCTCACAGCGCAATTACTCTGGTTTCCTCCCACAGTCCAAAGACATGCAGTCAGGCTGATAGGAGATGCTAAACTGCCCCTAGGTGTGAGTGTGTGCGTGTCAATGTATGTGTCTGCCCTGCGATGGACCGGTGACCTGTCCAGGGTTTTTCCTGCCTTCTGCCCGATGACCGTGACCCAGAAGGATAAGTGGCTTAGAAAGTGTGTGTGTAAAAGTAAAATACACTCTGCAACTGTAGGGGGAGCCCAAGAGCAAAAAATACCAATTCTCACAAGGTGCTGCTTTACACACAATAAGCAAACACAAAAACGCACTTTTATAAACACTGACCTGCTCAATCACACACAGAGACCAGAATCCAGCTTCTGATTTTGTAAATCATACGCAACGTATTCCATCAACATTCAGTGAGTTCATCTGACGAAGCTCCACAACAGGCATCGTACAGATGTTGATTATTTGATGTTTATAAGTTTTGTAAAGCGTTAGGAGCTGTTGTGTAGATGTGTGTATCACCCCCCCTCCCCACCACGAACACAGAGGAGGGGAGTGTTTGTGGGCTCTGAGTGTTGAGGATGAGTGTTTAGACTCAGTTAAAGCCCTGCAGCAGAGCCCTGATCTCACACGGCCGTGTTTACAGCCCTGCGGCTCTCACAGACACCATACACTGCAGCTCACAGCGGGAGGGCAGAATACACCTTAACACTCTCTCCCCTCTCTCTCCCCTCTCTCTCTCTCTCTTTCTCTCTCTTCTTTTCTTTTCTCTCTCCTTTTCTACTCTCTCTTCTTTTCTTTTCTCTCTCCCCCTTTTTCTCTCCCTTCGCTCTCTCTCTCTCTGCAGTTGTTTGTGGAGTCTGTTGTGGAGGCATTAGCACCTGTTATCATGGCTCTTACTCCCCCCTTCTTTCTCTCTCCCTTTTTTCATCCCTCTCTCTCCCTCTGATCTTGATGTGGGCAGCAGCTGCATCCTTCCTGTGCCCTCCCCCATCCCTCTATTCCACATCTCCCTCTTTCATCCCCCACTACTGCTCTCACAACCTGTTCATCCTTATCAGACACAGACAGACAGACAAACAGACAGACAGACAGAGAGAGAGAGAGAGAGAGAGAGAGAGAGAGAGAAAGAAAGAGAGAGAGAGACAGACAGAAAGACAGACAGACAGACAGACAGGCAGAAAGATGGACAAACAGATGAAAGGCCTGGACAGATGAAAAGGCTGGCAGACAGACAGACCGATGAAGAGACAGACAGGTGGACTGAAAAGACAGACAGACCGACAATGACAGAGAAAAACAGACAGCTGTGTGTGTGCAGCCTACAGATGTGCTGGAGTCTGTCTCATACACACACAGAAAGAAAGAGAGAGAGAGAGAAAGAGACAGTAAGAAAGAGAGGAGAGAAGAAGAAAGGAGAGAAAAGAGAGAGAGAGAGACAAAGAAAAGAGGAGAGAGGAGAGAGTGAGGAGAGAGGGAGAAAGGAGAGAAAAGAGAGAAGAGAGAAAGAGAGAGTGAAAGAAAGAGGAGAGAGAGAGAGAGAGATGGTGACCCTCAGCTGTCCTGCTCATTAATAAAGCTCCATTTTCAGGAACTGGACTTGAAACCAGCTGTGGCCATCACACACACACACACACACACACACACACACACACACACACACACACATTATTGTGTATACGTCTGTTTTACTCTATTTGTAAGGTCTTTAATGTACTGCAATGGTACAGTAAGAAAAGCACTTCAGTCACTTCATTCAGAGTGCAGCGTGTCAGGCTTGTTTACTTTATCATAATTTTTTTTGTTTTATTTAAACAATAAATACGATGTATTTTGAAAACTCCGTATCAGTTACTGCACTTAGATGAACTCAGTAGCCTGAAGGTCTTAGTCAGTGAGAGGTTCCCAAGCTGAATGCAGCCCAGGCTGACTTTATAACAGGCAACGCCCCCTTCAGGACACACTGACGTTTACACTTCTATGAGTTTCCCTCTGTCTGAAATCATCTACGTTTCTTTGTCTTTCTTTAAAAAATATTGAAGAGCAGTTATTCTTTTCTTGCGAAAGTTTTCCAAAGCTGGAGCAGAACAGCACTTAAAGCTTTGATCTTTTAGAAAGAGGAGAAAATCAAGCTGCTTCAGATAAATTCACATCCACAGGTGTTTCTGTCCATCCTTCCACTGTGAGAAGACAACTCAGTGCTATGGGTCTGAAAGGATGTGTAGCTGTCAAGAAGAACCTCACTGAGAAAAGGAGACAGACACATCAAACAAAGAAGCTGAACAATGGACTGACCACCCCTGAGCCCAGGGGCCGTAATACAGAGACATCTTAACTCTGAAATCTGATCTGTTTAGTCTCCATGACGATTTCAATACAGACTGAACATATTTAATAACTAAAAGA